CAGGAAAGTATGATATGTTTGTTATTTAAAAAAAAAAAATGTATCTGTTAGGGGGGAATTCTGCTCAAGGACCACAGGTGTGAAAAGCATTCTTCCCACTAACCATCACACTAGTGTATCATGAGTTGTAGATATAGCAATTTTTTGCAGGGGTTCCCTGAGACCAAAACGTTATATCAAGGAGTTCTCTATTCTTGAAACGGTTGAGAAAGACTGTACTTATCTCAGTTAAGAGCATCAAGTGTTATTTCTGCCTGCTGCCTTTCTTCTGTTATCAGCATGAGTCACCTCTAACAGGTTTTCCTAACACTAAGAGAAAAAAAAAAGTGACAGGGGAGGGATCTCCACAAAAACTGTGATTGACAGCCTCAGCTTTGTTCCTGTGTGCTGGGGAGGGTGTCCCTTCCCTCCAATCAGCTCTCAGAGCTCTCCTCGCTGAGCTCTGCAGTGTGTAATTTCAGCTCTCCACCCCATTTTCTGAAAGCTCAAACAAGCTGTATAAATCCTAGACTTTGAATGTATGTAGAGGAGAGAAGACTGGAGGTAAACAAGTACAACCTGAGAGGATTTTTTTCATCTCTGCATCACCTGAGGCCAGTCACTTCACTGGGTATATGTAAGGATTTACAAACACTTAAGCAAACTGTCATTCAGTTAGAGTTTACATTCACTTTAAAGAGTGTTGAGAAGAGTTCTTTAGTAAGTAACAGGCCATGCATACAGCTATACACAACGTACCCTTTGGAGCTATATAGCTATATACAGTACACACAGGAAACAATGCACACAGCAGAAAATATACTGTAATGTAGATCATGCAACACAGAACAGAGGAAATGATTTGTGGTATAACAAGCCACAACACCACAAGCACCTTATGTGAAAGTACAGACCTTTGTCTGACTGCTTGTTACTTTAAAAAGTGATTATTAACTAAATCTACCTCTGCTGACATAACTGTCAGTACACCTCAACACAGTTTAACTTTTTCCATTCTATTGCCTTTATCACATTCTGAACAGCACAAATACCACATTTGCATGGGTGCTGTCAGTCATGCTATGGGGACACAAAGCTTGTAATGGTGTTGGGTACTTAGCTTGCCTTTTACCAGCTACCCCTCTTCAAGGATGGTGAAGATGAAATGAAGGATGGACATTTCAGCAAGGCAATGATCCCAAACAACAAAGCCAAGGAAATTTCAACTGGTTTCAAAGAAAGAAAATAAAGCTGCTAAAATGGCCCAGCCAATCACCTGACTTGAATCCAATAGAAAATCTATGGAAAGAACTAAAGATCAGAGTTTCATAGAAGAGGCCCACAGAACCTTCAAGATTTGAAGACTGTTTGTGTAGAAGAATGGGCCAAAATCACACCAAAGTAATGCATGTGACTAGTTTCTCCATTCAGGAGGCATCTTGAAGCTGTCATTACCAACAAAGGATTTTGTATGAAGTATTAAATAAATTTCAGTTCGTGTTTTCAATACTTTTTCCCTGTGTTATTACACATAACTTAAATTCTGAACTTATTTGTTTTAGTTTCTTTGTATGTATGGACTGCATGGGTTGTTACCGACATGTAGTGAAACTTTCACATCAATGGTACCTTTAGAAATATATTTACTGAGGAAAATGGTGACACGTTCAAAACTTATTTTGGCCACTGTATGTGATGGGAAGGGAATAATGATATAATCAAGAGAGAAATTATGGATAACACAAAGGATCCATTACTATAAATAAGGAAGATTGCACACTTAAGAGTGTGTGTGTGTATATATTTAGCAAGATGAGACAACATCATACAGGATTATAAAAGGAAGACATTATATACAGAATCTATACTATAACTGAAGGGAAGAGATTTCATATACCATTACTAAAGGGAAGAGATAATATATTACACAAAATACAACATTACCGAAGAGAAGAGATTTTACACAAATGATACACAACATTACTAGAGGGAAGAGACTATATATACAAAGTATTGAAGGGACAAGAAAATATAATAATGTAACACAGAATATGCACAATGAATAACAGTCATCCAATAAAAACGAAAATAAAATGTATAATACCAAAGGGAAGAGATGGCATATAGGAATGAACGGACGCAAAAGTAGAACACAAAAGAAAACATTACCAATGGGAAGGGATATACTATTAGTGAAGAGACGACCGCGTACTACAATATAACAGAGTATTTAACATAAAAAAAAAAAAAAAAACACATTACTGAAGAGAAAAAAGGATAATAATAATAGAAGCATCAGGGAGATCATATACAATGGACAGACAGACAGACAGGATTGGGGGGTGGGTGTTATATATGGTGTATTATCATTTTATAACAATAGGAGTCAGAATAGAGGATAGAGCACTACAGAATAAAACTGATACAACAAAGGGCCTGCAGCTGGAGATACAGAATGAGAAGTATGATAGATGTAATGGCTATAGCACTCCAAACGTTTGTTACCTTTTCAAATACAAAAGTAGCATTTGCCAAAAAGAGAGCACTTTGGTTACTTTGTATTTGCAACACTAAGGCTGGTTCACGCCACAATTTCAGTGTTCTAGGTGAATTTTTGCATATGCATTTACACTTGTTTTTAGTGTGATTTCAGTGTGTTCTAGCGCATATTTTTACCGCTCTTATTTTGGTGCATGAAAAATCCTTATTTTCATTCAGAACAATGTGTGTTTTGGTGCATTTGGATTTTTTTTTGACATGTTCTGAGCAAAAAAAAAAAATAAAAATCTGCACTAAGCTGCACTAGGGCCATTGGAATTCATGATAACTGCTGTACTAGCATTCTGGATGAGTTTTAAGGGTGCACTGGACAGCACTAAATAAAAAAAAAAAAAAAAAGTGGAAATGTCTTGGAGTTCTGTGACCATCACATAATTTCTTCTACACATTCACACTGTGTAGGGTCAGACTTGTTGTGAGCACCCCAGTGCCAGGAGCCAAGGTGTTGGCCACCATTTATAAATACCAGAATATACAGGATTAGACATGAATAATACAGAATAGTTACAATGTATAAGGTCAGTAAGTGGGATCTCTAACAATACACAATACAGGACAAACACATATGATAGAGAAAATATAACCAAGATAAACTTTTTTTGGCTAAAGTGGAGAAATATTAGAACCCCTGTTGTTTTTTTTTTTTTTTTTTTTTAAATTGTTGTCTGTGTCCCTGTTAGGGAGAATTAGCCTCTCTGTTTATCATCCAGGGTGCAAGTGAAGGAAAATCCCAAATTTCAGGTCATGTCTAGAACAGCAATAAGGGAGAAATCTTCCAATGGGGGCACTAGTTCTGGTGACAATCAGGGATTCTCTCAAATTTCCTGTTTTGGCTATGGGACAGGAAGTGAAGGGAAATCTCCCCAATGGGACACAGACTGCAAAAAAATAAATACATTTGTGAAGGGTTATAACCCTCCCTTACTATACTCAAAATGGGGAAAAAAAAAGATTTTTGTCTATAGTTTTACTTTAACGGAGGGAGATGATCTAACAGGGGTCTCCAAAGTATGGACCGCGGGCCACATCCAGCCTGCAGGGACATTTTTTCTGGCCCACAGCTTGAGTCCTTAGACTCACTGCAGGGTTGGTTTCTGCTCAAGCTATGTTGAGTAGCAAGACTTGCGCTGTATATTCACCCCTGGAAGTGCAGGACAAACTCCCCAACCTAGCACATCACTAAGTTGCTGGCAACCAACGAAATACTTGGATGCTGACCTGCTGCACCTCCCTGCTCCTGCCCCACTGTTAGCGTCAGTGTCCTTAATGGCTATAGTTTTGCATACATGGTGCCTATGTGACAGCTGGGTGGGTGCCAGGAGGTGCAGATCTGCCCTGAAGCCAAACATTAATATATAAGTGGGACACAAATGTAACCGTGTTGATACAAAATGTGCCAGTGGGGGGGTTCTCTGAGGGGGACCCAATATGGAGAAGGGGCTCTGATGAGTGACAACAACATGGAAAAAGGCACTCTTATGGGGACACAAGTGTGTCGGGGGCTCTGATGGGGACATAAGTGTGTTGGGGGGGGGTGCCAAAGAGGACACAAATGTGTTGGGGGGGGTGTCAAAGAGGACACAAATGTGTTGGGAAGGGGGGGGCGCCAAAGGGGACAGAAATGTGTTGGGGCTCTGATGTCTAAAATGTCCACTATGGCCCTCGAATTGAAAAGTTTGGAGACCCCTGTGTAGCACTAATACAATAAACATGCATCTATTAGTGGGAGGGGATCATCAATTAAACAATACAGAACACAACATAAAGGAAAGAATATAATTTATATACAGAACACACACATTATATCCCCTCGGGGGGGACAAACGATGTGGCGGGAGGACACACCGTCCACACACGTCCAGATATAATACAGGGGAAGGGGGGACACACCGTCCAGATATAATACTGGGGGAGGGGGGACACACCGCCCAGATATAATACAGGGGGATGAGGGGGACACGCCGTCCAGATATAATACAGGGGGAGGGGGGACACCGCGTCCAGATATAATACAGGGGGAGGGGGGGACACACCGCCCAGATATAATACAGGGGGAGGGGGGGACACACCGTCCAGATATAATACAGGGGGAGGGGGGACACACCGTCCAGATATAATACATAGGGGGGACACACCGGATATAATACAGGGGGAGGGGGGACACACCGTCCCAGATATAATACAGGGGAGGGGGGGACACACCGTCCAGATATAATACAGGGGGAGGGGGGACACACCGTCCAGATATAATACAGGGGGAGGGGGGACACACCGTCCAGATATAATACAGGGGGAGGGGGGACACACCGTCCAGATATAATACAGGGGGAGGGGGGACACACCGTCCAGATATAATACAGGGGGAGGGGGACACACCGTCCAGATATAATACAGGGGGAGGGGGGGACACACCGTCCAGATATAATACACGGGGAGGGGGACACACAGCACAGATCTCTCACCGTCAGCACAGACTCCCACCACCAGTAACACACAGGTGACCAGCCGGCAGCCCCCCATCTTCCTCCTGCTCTCCCGGCGGCGCTCACACTCTCATCCCCCCCGAGACCAGAAGCACCGACCCTCGCCAATCACACCGCACTTCCGGCCCAGCCCCTAAGTCCCGCTAGTCGCTCCGCCCCAAAACTCGGGGCACTTCTGGTTTATGGAACGCATTAACTTCCTATCGAACACACCGTGTGGACCGCATACGGTACTGTAAAGTTACTAAAGACATCGAGAAAAAACTACCTAGAAAGGCGAGGTTACGCCCACAAGCAATAATTTATAGTATTAGCGAGTTAAAAAGTAAAGAGGGCGCAGTTTCGGAGGCACGCCTACAAGCAAACTTGTGCGGGAAGGTGGGGTTTCAGGAGGAAGCGCTCATATTATCAACCAATTAGATGGGGGGTGTTGGCGGTAGGCGGGTTGCCAGAGTGAAAGATGGCGGACCGGCTGACTCAGTTGCAGGATGCGCTGAATTCGGTGAGTGATTGGCGGTGTGTTCTGGGCCCTGAGCGTATGTACTGCTCGGTGTTTGTTGTCTGGGCCTCTGTTATATGTGACCACCCACAGTCTGTACAGGCCTGCGTGGTGTGAGGAAAAGAGGCAATAAGGGCATTTCCCTCAGGCCCTGAGCTGTCCTATGGCCCTTGGGCTTCAGGTAGGGTGGGAACCCCCTCTATAGTAAACCTAGAAAAATGGGGTGAATGATGAAGCTGATACCCTTCTGAAATAACTATCTGCCTGGCTCCTATGATCTACTCCAGGGGGGGGGGGGTCTGTAAACATTCCAAAGAAAGGGCCTGTGTACTGTTCTACAGACTTTCTGGGAGGAGGGAAATTAAAGCATGCTTTGATATAGGGGGAGAAGTGGTGCCCCCGTGTCGGTGTTGGGAGTGGTGCCCCCGTGTCGGGGGGGCAGGAAAGCACCTCAAGGGCCAGAGAGAGGCAAACAAAGGTCTGTATCTGGCCCCTGGGCCGCAGTGTGGAGACCACTGATCTACTAGCTTCAGGGCTTATATGACTGGGAGCAGGGCTAGAGCGTAAAGAGGAGCTACAGGAATTCATTTTAAGTTAAAAATCTGTTACAAATACTGTAGGTGCTGACTTCACTAAAAGGACACTTACCTGTACTGGGGTCCAGCACTGTCCTCACCCATGCCAGTTCTTTGGTGTTCTTCAGATCCCTGGTGCTGCCATCTTGGCTATGGAGCCAGCTCAGCTGTTTCTTCAGACGGCTGCCACTGCCATGCTGTGACTCCTTGCTGTTTCACAGACGTCTCCCCACTGCACATGCACAAGTCATGCTACACTTTTAGAGTGGTCCTGCAGCCTCCTGAGACATGTGTTTTGCTGCAGGAGGTTGCGGGAGGGGAGGGGCCTTGAACTGCCATAATTCTTGCCTGGGCAAGCAGAATAGAAGTCAGAAAAGTTCCCACTCAAAAAAAAAAAAGTTGCAATAATGGTATAGTAGGGGAAAGAGAAGGATAAGTGGAAACTCATTATTGAAAATGGAAAATTTAAAAGTCAGCAGCTACAAAGCCTGTGACTGCTGACTTTTAGTATAAGGACACTTACCTGTCCAGTAAAGTCCGATTCTTCAGTCAGCTTTGGTTGCTGGCGTCAGCATCTTCAGTAAGGGAAACCGGAAGTGATGCCTCGCAGCGTCACAGCCGGTTCTCCACTGCACTCTGTGAATGGGCTGCAGTCTTCTGGGACCTGTGAAGTGTCCCAGAAGGGTGTCCCTGTTGGGGAGGAGTGGGTGGATGGGGAATTTTCTTTTGTCATTGTGGGGTGACCGGAGGGAGGGATAGGTGGTGCAGAAGGGAGATTTATCGGTTTGGGGGGTTTTTGTGGTTGTGTGGGTGCCGAAGGTGGGATTTTCCTGGGAGGGGTGATGTTGCGCGGTCATGCAACACTGTACCCATATGAATTATTTAGCATTTTTGAGACAGATATAACTTTATTTTGGTGGTATTTATTCATCACTGGAATTTTTATATGTTTTGCTATATAAATGGAAAAAGTCCAAAAGTTTGGAAATAAATAATCTTTCTTCATAAAACGTGGCCAAAATGTATTCAGTTATCTTTTTAGTAAAAAAAAAAAAAAAAAAAAATCCAAATTAGTTTATAACCAAAAATTATAATTTTTTTAAAAAAATTTTGTACATCTCTATTTTATTTTATATTTGTTTTGTTTTTTTCATACTGTCACCCTATCAGTACAGTGTCACCATAGTGAAACTGTACTACTTGTGGGGGGGTGATGACTTTTTTTTTTTTTTACACTGATTGCTTTTACACCCATAAAGGCTGTAAAAGCAATAATTTCTCCGTCTATCTGACTGCATTCTTGCAGCCATTGAGAAATACTGAGAGTTGTGATTGGTCACAGCTTGTCACATGGTACAAGGTTGTTGTGAATAGCCTTGTACCATGTGACCTTTGTGATCGTTCACAGATTTCACAAGTAGTAAGCAATGATGTCAGAAGTGACATCATTGCTTACTACTATTCATGTGATCACTGAGTGGAAAATCGGTGATCACATGATCGGGACCTCAAACAGAGGTCCCATACAGTGATCGATGTTCCGCTGTGTCCGGCACCAAATCGCGGTGCTGCGTGCACAGCCTATAAATGTGGGCACCGTTTATGAACGTCACCCCGCTCCTGCACTGCTCCCGTCCGGCCTGTTATGTACATGGGCTGGACGGGATGTGGTTAAATAGAGTAAGGGAAATGATTAAGACTGGAACAGACAGAATCTGAAGCAGCAGTGCGGGACAACCAATCGGCTTTTAACTTTCAATTTCAAAGCGTTACTGAACAAGCTTAAGGTGGTTCTAAAGTCCTTAAAGTGGTACTTCACTCTCTCAATTAACATTGACTATTTTAATTTAAATCCTTATCCTGCTACAATTAGTAACTAGATATGAAAGTATGTCCTATTTACTTGTTTTAAACAGTTTTTTTTATACATATCTTTAGTTACTTCCTAGTTTCCATGCCTAGGCAAATGAGGTCATACATCCCAGGAGTCTTCAGGTGGGGAAGAGGGGTTTTCTCAGTTAACCCTCCTGCCTGCATGTCGGAGCTAAGGGCAGATGGATTCCAGGAAGTATATGCTACTTGAATCATCTACCCTTACTGGCCATGGACGGAAAAGCTAGGCGAGTGTTTTTCTAAGTGGTTTTGTCGCCAAACTAAAACATGAAGATATGGATGGGGGAGGTTGCTTTGAACATTAAAAATGAATTAAGCAGCGCTTTTGGTTGGTGGCGCTCAGATAATGTAGTTTCTCTTTAATGCATTTTCTGCATTAAGGAAAAACCTTCCACTATGTGTTCCCCAAGCCTCCCTGCCTCCCACCTGAGTCCTGATTTAATCCTGCCCTATGCCCGGCTGCAGGTCTTCTTTCCCTGGTCTCCCAGGCTTTGTTGAGAGCAGCAGGAGCCAGTGAGTGGGGGGCAGGGCTCAGCTGTGCTGTGTATGAGCAAGCCTGCACATCTGCTCCCATAGCAAGTGCTGTTGGGACAGACGCTGAAGTGGAAAAGCCAAGATTGCAAACGAGGAACCCCAGAAGAGGAAGTTCAGGTATACTCTGTGCAATACCACAGCACAGAGCAGGTAATTTTAACATATATTTTTTTTTTAATTAAAAATAGACTTTACAAATGCCTTAAAGGCATTCTAAACCTTCCCACCTTTACTTTTTGTTTTTCACCTGCATAAGATGTGCACTGATCATGTAGTTTCACGGTGAGGCATGTGGCATGGCACTGCATGATATCGGTCTGTCTAAAAATTCGCACTTCCTGTAAAGAACTGTATAAACCACAATATTTGTTTCTTTCGGTCTAGTGCTCTGAAGTAAGAGTTTAACAATAATTCGATCTGATGCAGACACAAACAGGCAGAGCTCACCATGCTGAAAATAAAAAAACTAATATGGTTGCATAAGTGTGCACACCCTTATTATTATTATTATTATTCAGTATTTATAAAGCGCCAATAGTTCGCTCAGCGCTGTACATTACAAAGGGAGACAGAACATGTGACAGAACAATACCAATACAATGCAAAACATGAGGGGATCAAGGGCCCTGCTCTTTCGAGCTTACAATCTAGGAGGGAGGGGGTGGTGGCACAGGAGGAGATAGCTGTGGGGGATGGTAGGAGTGGTAGGAAGAGTGGAGGAGGGAGGCAAGTTAGCAGGGGGTGGGGTAGGCTTCCCTGAAGAGATGGGTTTTCAGGGTGCGCCTAAAGGAGAGGAGAGTAGGTGATAATCTGATGGGTTGGGGCTAATACATGGTTGAAGCACCTTTTAATTTTATTCCAGCACTCAGTCTTTTTGGGTATGAGTCTATCAGCATGGCACATCTTGACTTGGCAATATTTGCCCACTCTTCCTTGCAAAAACACTTCAAATTTGTCAGAGGGCATCTCCTGTGCACAGCCCTCTTCAGGTCACCCCACAGATTTTCATTCAGATTCAGGTCTGGGCTCTGGCTGGACCATTCCAAAACTTTAATCTTCTTCTGGTGAAGCCATTCCTTTGTTGATTTGGATGTATGCTTTGGGTCGTTGTCACACTGAGAGATGACGTTCCTCTTCATGTTCAGCTTTCTAGCAGAAGCCTGAAGGTTTTGTGCCAATATTGACTGGTATTTGGAATTGTTCATAATTCCCTCTACCTTGACTAAGGCCCCAGTTCCAGTTGAAGAATAACAGCCCCAAAGCATGATGCTGCCACCACCATGCTTCTTCGTACGTCTTGCCACTATACCCCATAGCCCAGACATATGAATAATACGGGAGATTGTTGTCACATGTACAACACAGCCAGTACTTGCCGGATATTCCTGCAGCTCCTTTAGTGTTACTGTAGGCCTGTTGGAAGCCTCCCAGACCAGTTTTCTTCTCGTCTTTTCATCAATTTTGGAGGGACGTCCAGTTCTTGGTAATGTCACTTTTGCGCCATATTTTCTCCTCTTGATGACTGTCTTCACTGTGTTCTATGGTATATCGAATACCTTGGAAATTCTTTTGTACCCTTCTGACTGATACTTTTTAACAATGAGATCCATCTGATGCTTTGGAAGCTCTCTGCAGACCATGGCTTTTGCTGTAGGATGCGACTAAGAAAATGAACTTTATTTGGGGTTAATCAGAGGCACTTTAAATGATGGCAGGTGTGTACTGACTC